GGAAAGGGGGAGACGCTTCAACATCTTCCCAGATGGGCAGGAAAAATGGGGGCTCAGGCCCCCCACCCCATCCCAAGGGGCACCTCATCATCCATACCCACTGGTGATACCCCCACAGGGCTCCTGGCCGAGGGCTGCTCCCTCCAGGAGCTCAGAGCCCGGGGGCTCCTAGTGCCAGACACCACAGCACAACCGAGAGCTGGGCCCCACAGAATGCAGCCCCCCCCATCCAGCCCCCAACCCCCTCAATCCAGCACCTGATCCCCCCTCAGTTCCAGCACCCCACAATCCAGACCCCAACCTTCCACCTCCATCCCCAACCCCACACCACCAGCCCCCTCAATCCCAGTCCCCCACCTTCCACCTCCATCCCCATCCCCCACAATCCAGACCCCAACCCCACACCTCCAGCCCCTCAATCCCAGCCCCCAACCCCACACCTCCAACCCCCTCAATCAGCCCCCAACCCCACACCTCCAACCCCCTCAATACCCAGCCCCCAACCCTCCACAACCCAGCCCCACCCCTCCAATCTCACGCACCCCACCTCCACGCCCAACTCCTCCAATCCCCAGCCCCCCCACAATCCAGCCCCCAACCTTCCATCTTCAGCCCCACCCCCCTCAACTCCAACTGCCCACTCCATTAGCCAAACCCAGCAACCCTCCCACACAGACCTTCCAAATATCCACCCCCAGCCCCCAAACCCAACCTCCTCCATCCCCAACACCTCTTAACCCCAGACCCAAACCAACCCCCTCCAGCCCCCGCCCCCTATAACCTATCCCCGCTCACCCAGCTGAGCTCACTGTGGGAACAGCAAACAAAAGCCACCTCCCTGGCCCGGGGAACCTTTCAAACAGCCCGCCTCCCCGCGCCTCTCCCATTGGCCAGTCTTCCCCACTTTGTGGCTTTCCATTGGGTAAGGAGGCAGCAGGGCTAGCCAATGGCATTGCTTAGGTGGGGGAGGCGTGGCTCAGGAGAGGGGCATGCTGGGAATTGTAGTTGTGGCTGTGAAGCCCACATGGATGGGGGAGGTTGGTGCACGTGGCTTGAGGGGATTGAAGGGGCTCTGGGGGAGATATAAAGGGCTCTAGAGGGATGCAGACATGGAGTTATACAAGGGCAGAGGTTGTGGCCATAAGGGATAGAGACGTGTGTGTGTCAATAGATGGGGAGCGTTGATGGAAATACGGGGCGTAGGGGGGCGCATAGAACTGGATATGGGGCTGTAGGGCAGGAGATACACAGACTTATTCTCCTTCTCGTGTGCAAATCAGGAGCCGGGTACTCGTTCCCTGCGCCCACAGCTTGTGCAGAGTCTCTGCGAGCCCCTTTGAAACGGAGCCGGGCCCCCATGGGGGCAGCGCTGCCCCTGCCGGGCACTCAGGGGCCGGGTGCTGCAGGACACGGGGGTGGGGGTGGGGGTGGGGAGCTCTGGATCTGGCCCCGCTGGGCAGGGGCTCGGCCTGGGGGGGTCCCTCGCAATCAGTGCTGATCCCAATGCCCTAGGATGGCGCTAGGGGGCGCTGTGCTACCCCCAGGAGGGAAAACTGAGGCCCACAGAAGATTCAATCCGCACCGGAGTCGACCCCAAACCCCCCTTACGCAGCTCCCTGCTGCCTTCCCTCGAATCCCCTCTGCCGTCAGCCCGACGGGCTCGTCTTTCCCTCCTGGCCTGGACGACCCCACAGGACGAGACCCGCGTGCTCCCCTCTCCCCCTCCTCCCGGGCCAACGCCCCCTTGCTCCAGGTCAGACGTTCCCTGTGCTCTACCCGGGCTAGCTTTAAAAGGCTCCGGCCGCCGGCCTGTCCCGCCCCTCCCCAGGGGCAGAGCACGACCCAGGCCAGTGCATTACGTCACCCTTCTACAAGAGCCAGCATGGACCTGCCCTGCCCCACCCCAGAGCTGGCCACATTTCAGTCCAGAGTGAACCAGACCCTTGTGTGGCGTTGCTGTGCGTTGTTAAATAGCTACTTCGCTCCACCCCAGAGGTGGCTGCTGCAAACCCTCCTTGGGGTCTTTCCACAAACAGTCCTATGCAAAAAACACGCTCGCTGGTCAGCAAAGACCTGCTGAGAATCCCTCCTGAGCAGGGACTGTCCCAGCTGCTGGGGGGAGGGGGGCACACAGCACTGGGCTATTCCCTGCTCCCTGCGGGTCGGTGGGAAGCAGAACTCAAGTGAGAGCAGCCCCCAGGCTGCTCCAAGAGACACAAGGGGACCAGGACATGGGGAGCATAAAGACACCCCCCCCAATCTTAAGAAATATCTGTCTCACGCATCTTCACCTGCTGACGTTATAGGGGAAAGGACCCAACACAGAGTGCGAACAGCTTGGCGAGTTTAATTTAGTAACGATCATTCAGCTAACGATTCTACAGCAGGAGGGGAGCGTGTCCTTGTGACCCAAAGGTACCAAAATAATCGGACCCTGCCAGACACACCCCAGCTCGGACCAACACATCTCGCCAGCTGCTGGTGGGGCAGCAGAGGGGGATGCCCAGTGTGGGGTATGGGGATGGTTTCCTCTTGCATCCATCTAGCAAGTGGGGTGGGAGGGGGAGTAATCTGAGCATGGGGCCCTGCCGCCCCCACCCCTCTGCTTCGCGGGGTTGGTGTCTCCCAGCTTCTTCTCTCCTGGCTGGAACGATCCCCAGCTGCCTCTGTCGGTTCCCATCCGAGCCCAGAGGGCTCTCAGGGCTCAGCCGAGGAAGAGGAGGAAGGCGGGGAAGGCTCTTTCTGGACCAGCTCCGGCTCGTCCTCCCCGTCATGAGGGGGGTGGACCAGCACCTTGTCCAGGATCCCGAACTCCTGGGCTTCCATGGGGCTCATGTAGCGATCTCTCTCCATGGCGGACTCTGCAGGACAAGAGCACGGGGAAGGTGAGGGGTGCCCTGGGCTGGGGGGGAGCCTCTAGACCCTGGCCCAGGGCACATCACCCTCTAGTGACTGACCCAAAGAGAGAGAGGGGGGATAAAAGCCTTAACACTGCAGCAGCCACTGGAGATCCCCCTGGAGTTCCCACATCTGGAGCTGAAGAGCAGAGGGGTCTAGCCCCGCTGGGGCTCTGGAGTTAAACCCCTGCACTGCTTGAGATATTTCACCCCAGTCTGGCCTACAGCATCCATTCCTTCCTGACCCCTGCAGTCGCAAGCAACTGATGCCCTGAAGCATGAGGGCTGATCGCCCTGCCTTCGGGATCTGAACTTTGACCTCTCCACACGAGGGGAAGGGGGTCTGGATCCAGGCCCATTCCATTTACGGAACGGAGACATTTTGGGAAGCCCAGTACCGCTGTCCCCGCCTTCCCCTCCCCCATCAGCCTCTCTCCACCGGAGACCCCAGAAGACGGCTGGGAGATTTCGGGGGCACTCACCGATCACCTCCAGGGGCTGCTTGGTGTGCTTGGCGTACAGCCCGTTAATCTGCTTCTTCAGCGTCAGGATCTCCTCGGCTTGGATGGCGATGTCCGTGGCTTGCCCCTGCGGGGAGGCACCGTGAGGTGCAGCCTGGCTTCATGGAGCCCCCACCCCGACTAGTCCAACTGCAGCAGGCGCAGAGCACAGCTGCGCCAAACTCGTCCCAGGCATCGCCCGGGAACGATCGGGGGTCTCTATCCACTCGGGGACGGCGACCTTAGGTCAAAGGTCCCCCCTAACCCAGAGGGACCCCCAAGACCAGCAGCCAGAGAGGAACCCGCCCCCATGGTCCAATCATTCCCCACCAGTGCCTGCTGGGGTGGCCCCCGTACGTCCCCCACCCCAGGGCTCCCACTCCCATCCGGGGGCAGATCGGTGCCCGGACTCACCCGCGCCCCTCCCGAAGGCTGGTGAATCATGATGCGGGAGTTGGGCAGGGAGTGCCTCATGCCCTGGGAGCCGGCAGCCAGGAGCAGCGACCCCATGCTGGCCGCCTGCCCCACGCACCAGGTGCAGATGGGGTTCAGGATGTACTGCATGGTGTCGTAGATGGCCAGCCCCGAGGTCACGGCACCACCTGGAGGGAGAACGGAGAATGACGGCGAGGACCCAGCAGGGGGGTGGCTGGAGGGAGCAAGGCCCCAGCACTGGCTGCTCCAGTCCCAGCCTCTGCCAGCAGGGGCCACTTCGGGGCACGGCCGGCTGTTCTCACGGTGGCGCTCGCGGTCTGGGCTCCCACTCACCGGGGCTGTTGATGTACATGTGGATTGGCTTCTTGTTGCTCTCTGACTGCAGGAAGAGCAGCTGGGCAATGACCAGACTGGCCACCCCATCGTCGATCTGCAGAGGGTGGAGAGAGAGGTGGCAGCGACCTGGGGAACTCCCTGCTGCAGGGGCTTGGAGAAGCAAATGCAGCGGCGGGGGCGGTTTGAGGCTTTTCCCCCCAAGGCCGAATCATTTCACGACCATTAACTCTCGTGGCTCAGAGAGGGAAGATCAGGGGGAGGT